ATCCATTTTTGCGTGTATCGACACCATAAGGACTTAAGTTAAACCAATGAAATGGAGACTCGAACCCAATACCTTGGGAAAAGATTCAACTGCGCTACTGTGACTCGACTTGTGTGATGAGGTTGTTGATTATGTATGAGTTTTTAGTTTTTTGTCCTATCTTAACACCCTCCCACCCCCCCCCCCCCCTTTTTCTCCTTCCTTTTTGCCTCACTGAATCAGTAATTAACAATATATTTAAAGCAAGCCAGAATTTAAAAAAAAAGACCAATCTTGCAACACATTTTCGCTAATGAGGTTGTATTGACCACCCAATATTGGTTTTATTTCTTCTAATACATTCTACTATACCGCCATGAGATTAGCCGAGAGCCTGGGCCACTGATCACACTGGGGGTTTCATTCTGATGAATATTGTTTCCGCTATCGAGCTAAGACCTATCACAAAATATTGATATTTCACTAGTATGCATGCGGAGATTTAGGTAGCAATGTAAATAGGACTTTTTCATCTGGTGTCAATTTACCAGCAGGAAAGGATATTTTCGCAGTCAGAATAATGTGGGGGAAATAAGCACCTTTTGTGCACAACCAGACTTTACAAATACAGATATGACATGGCAGAAATCAGGTGCAGATAAAGGACACTCACTACTTTAATGTTACTTAGAACAGTCGACCAGACAGATGAGGCAGCCAGACTGAGAGTTTAGACGAAACTCTCGTAGTAGTGTAAGAAGACACAGCTAAGTGATGCATTCGATATGACAACTGAGCATATCGAAATTTTATATATATATATATATATATATATATATATATATAATATATATATATATATATGCCCACTAGGCCCAAAGGCGCTGAAAAGGGTCCTTTACCATTTAAATTTACTAAATACATTATGGTCTACATACAGAGCGGTTTTAGTGAAGACAAAAGGAGTTTTAATCATCACTTCACATGATCTCGTCGATGGAAACTAGCAAGAAGTATTAGACAACGTTTGTTAACAAATATTACTATGGGCTCTTTATATCTGCACAGTTTTGATGACTGCAGTAAATCTATTATTATTATTATCGTTATTATTGTCATTATGGTCCTTTAAAAAAGGGCCCTTTTCCACACGACACTGTATAGCCTCAATTAATAGCCTAGCATTTTTAATGACTGCATTTTTTTTTTTTAAATATTGCCGTTCCCATATGCGTACATAGCTGCTCAATCAACAGTCGATTTTGCTAGTTAAACTGCTTAAATATTAGGATGAGGCTAGAGCGTCCGGAAAAAACATCATAAACTGTTGACAAGTATATTCGAATACCTGCCACCGTCAAGGAACACATGCTCAACCCCCCCCCCCCCCCCAAAAAAAAAAAAAGTTTTGTTTCACTAATAGTTAACACCATTATAGCTAAGATCAATCACTGAAACACTAGTATGTAGCAGTTATATTTTAAATTAATGATTACATAGCACACTAACATGACAAAATACACATATTTAATTACAATGCGCAAAAAAATTGATTGATTTCAAAAAGTCTACTCATCAAACATACACCCTATGTAAAAGATTGACTTCTTTGCCATTAAGGTCTTTTTGTTAATTAAAAAATTTTGGAATTTGTTCTTTGTGAAAGCTACTATGCATTCTGTTTTTTCCAGTTCACCCACAACCATTTCATTTTGAAAAGAAACGGGGAAAGATAATAAATATTATGGTATCCATAAAAATCAGCATTTGAATACGGAAAAAAAAAAGGTGTTGAGGAAACTATGAGATTTGAATTACCCAGCGTAAGTGAATACATATTATTTAAGCTATTGACCTGACAGTCATCGACAATGAATCAAGCTGAGGCATTTATGTACACGACAATTTTGTCTTTAGACCTTATTCACAGCTAATGGACAGGCTAACCGCACGACACACATACATAAATGCTAAAGAGATATAATGGAATGTGGCAGGCAGATCAGATGTTTTCAAAACTTTCAGCTCTTCTGTTTTCAAGGACTGTATTATATTTTAAGGGAGTCGCCGTGGATCGGAAGCTCGTGGGTTCGCACCCTATGGAGCCTGACTTTTAAAAAATGACCTTAACTCCCAGGTCGACTTAGCCTTAACTGGGTACAACGTGCAGTCATGGGAAGTAAAGACAGCTTACTGACCACATTACCCACCAAGAGCCGATTGGTCCATACAAATATCGGTCTAGCCCTATATTCCTAATACGTCTGAAAGACGCGGACAAGTGACCTTTACATATTATTTTTTTGAGCTGTGTGTTATTAGTTCCCAAAGTCTGTGTGTTTCTGTAATTAGTTATTTTTAAGAAATGTTTACCTTAATAATATTTACAGCTTATTGACTGTACCTCCAATTTTAAAGTAATTGTGTGTGTATTAGGCACATAAGACACCATTCATATGCTTCATACACTAATCGACGCACGTTTGAGTAATAATCATTATTTCATGGCCGTCTTGACTTTAGGTACGCATTTTAGATACATTTCCCGCATGGATTCCATGACCATACTGGGGAGGGAGGAGGGGGAGGGAGGATGTTTGGGGAGGGGTTATTAGATCCACTGTCCCCTAACAAGCAAGACGTGAAAGACAATTAAGGGTTTTCCTGAAAACAGATTTGTTGGCTTTAAAAACGCAGATTACCATATCCTAATTGTAATGAGCGAACGCATGAAAAGAAGCAGAAGAAGAAGAAGAAGAAGAAGAAGAAGAAGAAGAAGAAGAAGAAGAAGTAGAAGAAGAAGAAGAAAAAGAAGAAGAAGAAGAAGAAGAAGAAGAAGAAGAAGAAGAAGAAGAAGAAGAAGAAGAAGGAGAACCGTTGGAAAGTGACATTTGACAGTCGCTAGCACACCTATCTTCTGGCCAAGTGGATAAAGGTTTGAACTGACCTTCTTCTTCTTTTTCTACTTCTTCTTCTTCTTCTTCTTCTTCTTCTTCTTCTTCTTCTTCTTCTTCTTCTTCTTCTTCTTCTTCTTCTTCTTCTTCTTCTTAGTTTACTCATAAAATGATGATCGGTACATTGTGTTATGGTTTACAGTTAGTTCAGATGCTGTAATCTGCACCCCTGGCCTAAACACATCCTATTTAGTTGCCTTTTACCATTTGCTCGTCTTAGGGTATTACAAGCACACACACACACACACACACACACACACACACACACACACACACACACTATTTGCAATATTTACATCCAGACACATCTCGTTCCACAGACATCGTATAGAGGAGTGTAAGCAAATACACAACACGATAATCTAAGAGAATAACACGTCACCACAAGCTTCTGCATAACACACGTGACGCAACGTACCCGAGCTAGACCAAAAGGACTTTATTTCTGCGAACAGCAGCAGAACAAGAAAAAGGTCAGTGTGTTATTTCCATTCTGCAGAAATGTGAAAATTCAATTTCGCCAAATCCTGCACTACAAGTATAAATAACTACCGAGTTACCAGGTAATCAACCAAACAATGGATTAAAGTATCAAGATTCTGCGTCGTGCTCTGTGACATGTTGAGGGTTGTTTAAGACTCTTATCACGACTTTGTTCTAGGCGACGTCAGAGTGCTGATTTTGTAATCTTCTAATGATCAGCACACTCGTGCAACTGACTAAACACTCTTGGGGTTTACTGCTTTTTTCTCGTCTCACTGTTTTGTAATTTGGGCAGCTGTTCTTCTTTTATCGCTGTTCATATTTATTAGGGACTCGCAGTCCTTAAGAAAGAGAATAGGCGCTTTTGAGCTAAAATTCTGTAGAAAGATTCTCAGAATAACTTGGGCAAAGAAGGGGAGAAATATTGATATCTTAAAAGATCTGAACATCAAGAAAGATTGGCTAATAAATAGCATCCTTTCTCGGAAGCTGAAATATTTTGGTAATATCAAGCGCCACGACGGATTGGAAAAAAATTATAGCAGAAGGCATAGTACCAGGAAGGAGGGGCAGGGGCCCACCGACACGAAGGTGGGCACAGGATATAAGTGACTCCATGAGTATGAAAGTACATGAGGCGGGAGAACTGTGATGAGAGCGACGTTCTACAAAGGACCTGCCACATGATGATGATGATGATAGTGATAGTCAAGTTGTCCGCTTTCTTCCTCCTGTCTTGACCAATGTATACCAAAGAAGAGTTTATGGCTTTAATTTTGAATCAGAAACGTATGTTAACAATTATCTCAAAGTGGCTAAAGTGCTAGTGCATCTACCTAAACGAACAACAGAAAGATACAGTTGTATCTCCTGCTACTCCGTTTTGAGAAATGAAGAACTGGAATACACGTTAAAACTAAACAGCTTTATGGAAAAAGACATTATAAAAGTCAGTAACAAGAATTTTCTTTTTTTAAAAACAAACTTGACTCTTAGGTCGACCTTGCCTTCAGTGGGTGCCAGATGCAATCATGGGAAGTAAAAGCGGCCGACGTGCAGCAACAACAACAGCAACAACAACAACATCACAGACAACAAAATATGTAAATATACTTGAGACAATATACACTGAACAAACGAACACTTTTATGGAGAACTATAAATGGGATCTCTTCGTTGCATTGAGGTGGGGTGTGTGTGGGAACTGAACCAAATATATTTGCGGGCGAGACCAATAGCAAATTATATTTGCAAAATAGAGGAAGGCATAATTCTACTTGTTGCCCGAAGTTTGCATATACATGTGTGTGTTTGTATGTTTGTGTTTGTGTACGTGTGTGAACTTGTTTCTGTTTTTATCTATTTACATTTGTGTTGCACGTTTATGTATTTTTAATGTGTGTGTGTGTGTGTGCGTGCGTGTTTATTTTCTGAGTGCTTACAATAATTATGTGTGTGTATTATGTAAGCAAATGTGTGTGTGTGTGTTTGTATTTGTGTCATTCAGTAGTTAGTTTATTGTGCTGCGATATGTTGAAACATGGCATACGTACATATGTTCTTTTCAGGTGGGAAGCTGTCATTATGTCATTGGATTACAGTTTGGCCGTCCGAGGTAAGGAAGTTTCAGCGGTCATGTGCAATCAGAAGGAGCAGCGAGTTTTGGAGAAGTGTCTACAGACTCTCCACCTAGAGCAGACTTACGCCGTGAAGCTTCTGGAAATAGACAACCGAGAAATGAAGGTAGGACGCTGCAGGTTGCTAGGTCAGGAATACTAGGTACCATTTCATGACAAAGCATCAACACGTTGCTCTTCTTACAATCTACTGATCAGATTTTTAGTTTAGCTTCTTTGTCACGTACACTGTTATGATAGGTATGTCTTTTTTTTTTTTTTTTTGGTCATTTGTCCAGCTTTGTCCTGGCCGACCCCTGCCTCTTCTTCTAGGAGCTAAATCTCTATGTCTGTTCCCTCTGGAAGACGACTTAGGGGTAGGTCAGGTTTACTTTAGTTTCCAAGGTATTATAATATTTGAAATCAGCTGTCTTCATTGTTAAGTTAATCCACATGTAAATGGGCCGTGTTTTCCTCGCCTTCAGGTGTAGTGGGCATATAGGACTAGACCTATATTATAGACACATGGGTATCTGATGGGCGTTGTGGTCAGCATGACAGTGGCCGCCTCTATTTCGCATGACTTGTCCTGGTATTCATTTAGGGCTGGGTCCATCTGGTAACGTGTGTCATTTTTGATAAAAGTCCGGCTCAGTCAGGTCCCGAACCTGCGACCTTCTGATCCGCAAGCGAACAAAAGCTGCTACATCACGGCGGCTCCCAGTGTATATGTAAGGTTATTATTTTTATCTCTTTCAATGTCTAAGAATTGGTTACATTTACGTTACTTTAATAGGTGGAAAATATACAGGTGTGTCTTTACATGGTTTAGCTAGTATTAATGAAAGATGCAGATATATAGAACAAGAAATGATACAATTATTGTTATATATATATATATATATATATATATATATATATATATATATATATATATATATATATATATATATATATAATACGTATAATGTAATGCGTTTATACGTCAAAAAGAGGTCCTAGTTTATTTCCTCTTCTCCATTTTATCCTTCCCAATCCTCTCGGTATCATGTATGCAACCGACCAGCACCTTTAGCCTTTCTCTTTCTCTCTCCAACTTTCGCTGCCCATCTCTCTCTATCTCTTTAATGTGTATGTGTGAGTGTATATATGTATTATGTTGCGATACTAACAAAAGTTGCGGCCTTTATTATTTAGATACTAGCTGCACCCGGCCACGCGTTGCTGTGGCCTAGAATGGTGAAATGGAGAGGAAAGAAAATAGCTCTCAGCTAACAGTGTCTGTCATATCGCCTCCCCCCCCCTCCTTTCCGCTACCCTCGACCCAGTCATATCTCCCTCTCCGAAGGATTGAAAAATCATCCATAGCGAAATAATTAAAATAGAAATAGTTAAGAAATGAGCACATTAAAGTATTAGTTTAAGCTCTCTCAGCTAACTGTGTCTGCCATAAATGCCCCCCCCCCCCCCCCACCCCACCCCCCCCCCTCCCACCAATCATATCTACGTAGGACTGAAAAATCATCACCTGGCAAAATTATTAAAATAGAAATATTTAAGAAATGAGAACATTAAAATAATAGTTTAAGCTCTCTCAGCTAACTGTGTTTGGAATAATCCCCCCCCCCCCCGCTCCCCCAATCAATCATATCTCCCTCTCCGAAGGATTGAAATATCATCACCTAGCGAAGACAAATCTCCCTCTCCGAAGGATTGAAAATTCATCCATGGCGAAATTATTAAAATAGAAATAGTTAAGAAATGAGAACTTTAAAATAAGATTTTAAGCTCTCTCAGCTAACTGTGTCTATCATAACCCCCCCCCCCCCCCCCCCCCACCTCCACCCTTTTATCACTAATCACATCTCCCTCTCTGAAGGATTGAAAAATCATCACCTTGCGAAATTATTAAAATAGAAATAGTTAAGAAATGAGAACTGTAAAATAATAATTTAAACTTTCTCAGCTAACTGTGTCTGGCATAATCCCCCCCCCCCCCCCCCCCCCTTTCCCCCCTCCCCCAATCATATCATCCTCTCCGAAGGATGGGAAAGTCACCATGTGACGAAATATTGTAACTAAATTGAGCTTGGCATCTGTGTCCACCCAGACTTAAATAGGTAGCAATAACTTGTACTGGGAAGTAAATGTGGCCAGTGTAACAGCTACCACATCACCCATTCAGTACCAGTACTACTGCAACCACAACTACCACCACCATCACAACAACAACAACAACAACAACAAAAATTGTCACTACAGTGTGTGTAGGTCGGTGTATGAAAAAAAGTGTTAGCGCCGCAGGCTGTCGCCATGGACTATTTAGTTTATGTTACCCCCGAAAAGAAAAAAAAACTGCATCACGTAACCAGTGATGGAGCCCACAGTAAAAAGTACACTATACTCACGAATAGCGAATGTGTCTATATTCTAATATAAGTAATATTTTGCAGTAATACAAGTTTTCCATTATTTCTAGGTACATTATAAAAAGCTGAAGGATAAGGTATCGAAAATAAAATCATTCCTGCCGATTGAAGACATCTCCAGATTTCGTGAACTGGATATGAAGGGTCGGTTCAAGCCAGCCTATGAATGTGTCGTTCTTAGTAGTGCTGTCAAAATAGCCGAGGCTTCTAGAAGACTCAAGCTGAACAGTCACAGAGGCAAGAATGGACGATGCACTCAGAGTGCGTTGCCAAGAATTTCAGTGTCCAGGGATAACTCTCACATTAAAACTAATTCAAGGGAATCAGATTCTGGACAACGCAGCAAATCTGTAATGGGGTTATCCACTGAAATTTCTCATGAAACACATTCAAGTCAGCAAGAGAAACCATCAACTGTTCAGTTTTACAGTGTTCAAGATGACAATCTTCTAGGTTTCGAAAAAAGCACCCCAGTAGATCTGCAGACGACCCAAGAAACCCCTATTGTTTTTGAACTGAGCAAACGATCACAGTCTGCAGAGAATGGGGGACATAATCTCAGAGCACAGTCAGGACACATCCATACTCATTCGCCGTTCTCCAGTCACGTGGCAGCAGCCAAGGACGCCCGTGATGGTTTGAGAACAGCACCAGCGCAGACTAACATTGCTCGAAGACTGTCGCAGGTGTCCAACTATTCTATTGACAGGTACAACTTCTCGTATTCATTGGCATGTCACGTTAGTAATTATATCATGTTCACAGCCACCTTCCTGTCTTGCTATCAATTTCGAATGATTTTTATACCCATATAACTTATTTGTTATTCAAATGACACAGAGAATCGTTAAAAAAAAAAAAAAAAAACTAGGATGACAAATACAATTCTGACAATTTTGGTTGAAAGAAAAAATAAAAAAAAAATGACAAAGCAGTATACATAAAGAAGCCTGATCAAATGCAGAAATCAAAGAAACCTGACTGAATCAAACGTGCACAAATATTGGAAAAAGGGGTGGGGGGGGGGGCACAGGAAAGACTCACATTCCATGCACCAAAAGATAAGTATATTACGGGGATGAAGAGATGTAACAACACTGGGTGTGACATAATTAGAAGATGGACAGCCTACTTAGAGGATCTGTATGATGATAAACGTCCAATGTACCACAACTATATGATGACATTTTTTGTTATTTGAAGCCCTACTCTGGCTCTTGCCAGGGGCCGCAATATAGCCTGGCCATAAATATGGCTTAAAGGCTGAACGCGGTTTCTGGGACCTCTCCACGGTGATCATCACCCACATGGTGGCACATTGTGTCATCGGGTGTTTATCGCTTGTGTGATGTCCTGGTGGGGTAGAAAGTCAGTCAGTCAGTCACTTGAAGTGCGAGTTGTTTTTTTTTTCCTCGCTCTGTTACAGATGTAAACCGGGCGGCGCATTTGTAATAAATAACACGCAATAATAACAAACAGTAAAATAATGTATTTTTAACCGACGATTACAGCCATTACATGCCCACCTCACCACGGCAGCTGAATGGTGTTCAATATCATCCACAGTCCAGAAGTAAGTTTGTAGGACAACTATAAAGACCCATCAATACTGGCTTCAAAAGTTGCGGATGCATTGCATCACATGGCCCCCACCTCACCATACACCCCCTTTCTCCCAAGGATAGGCGCTTTGGACAGACAACATCACTTTAAAAGAATGGACGTTGTGGGATATTTAGGAATTGAAACACTAACACAATTGTTAAATGAAATTTATGATAGTGGGTTCAATCAATGTAACCTATTGAAATATTTTTTGCTCTTAAAAAAAAAAAAAACCAGACACTTTAAAATGTGAAGACTTTGCACAGGGTAAAGGTGGGAGGATCGACTTCATTGCACCCGGTTGTATCACTTATGTCTCTCTCCGCAGAACAGCCAGCTGACTGCTGAGAGCGTCGCACAGAATACGGTCTCTTTAGCTCCGGCTACATACTTCAGGGATCTCCATAAAAATTGCACTGGTGAACTGAACGGCGCCGCTATGAAACGAACCTACGACTTTCAGAGCTTAAGGCAAACGGTTTGACCACTTCGCCACAGAGACCCACTCTCCCCCCCCCCTTTTTTTTTTTAGTAATAGAGAAAGGTACAAACAATACCATGTACATCCTCATGCGTTCCCTCCCTCTATTTTATAAGATTCTGACATTTCATAGCACATCTTTTCTATGTTTACAGCAATCTGGGAGAGAACTTGTATGAGGAACGTCGACTAGGACTATTAGAAGAAGAAGCCCTAAGAGCAGCAGCCTTGCAGCAGAAAACGCGAAAGTTTCTACACGAAGTTGAGGAATACCTGCAAGTAAAACCACGACTTCCGTCGTCGAAATCCGTCACTGGTAATTCTACTCAAGAATCGACTCTGGGTAAACCAAGCACCAGGGGTTATAATCGCCACCAGAAGTTTAACAGAAAGAGCAGGCTTTCTGAACCCAACTCCTCGTCAACATATTTGCACGAGCAGAAATACAAAGAGCATGCATTGTCGCTATGGACAGGGCTGAATAAATGCCGATATCTGCGAGTGCCGGATGAGATGCTTGACCTCTCTGGCATAAATACTTTAGCTAAAGATCAGATGCAGATGTTTGAAGTACTGCGAAAATCAGACTGTATACCTCTGAGGGAAGCTTGGGAAAACTGACAGGACACTCTACTCTTGACTAGAGTTCATAACCGTAAAGACAAGTTAGTTGCCTGCTCTTTAGAAGACTTCGTGCAGCAACCCCAGCATGTATCGGATTTTAGTATATTTTTACTTCACAATATATGGAAATCTCCGTGGAAAATATGTCAAGCTGTTTGCCTCGTGCTCTGAAGGTCGAGGTTTCGCTTGACGGCGGCGCTGTGCAGTTTACGAGTGCAGATTTTACGAAGATCCACGGAGGTCGTGCTCTGTGCGACGCTCTCTGTAGGCATCTTGCTGTTCTGCGGAGAGAGACTGATCTAAACTGGATGAAACCCAGTGAAGTCGATCCTCTCAACTCTACATTTAACATTACTATACAATATTTATTTTCAGTAGTTGTGTCTTTTTTCCCAAATAATAAGACTCACATTGTTTTCAAATCAACTCAAAGCTGATTTCTGTTAACAAATCTCATGCAGCCTTCTTTGCCACGATTTGGTGAAAGTGACAGAAAACGTCCACGCCCTCTAAATCGCAGATACTGACAACCTCATAACCCCTTACCCCAATGTTGTTTTATTTGTATCAATTTCTTCGAAATGAAATACGTTTTTAAAGACATCTAGTATATCTGGTTAACACCTCTGTGTGTAGGTCACGTTTAAAACAATAAAAAAAAGTGTGTTTTGTGTTACCATGTCGCTGAGATATATTAGATCAAAAGCGTCATCGATTGAAGACTAACCGATATGTACAAGGACTAGTCTTCCACTGAGACAGTATATGTCCTTTTATAATCTGGCACTTATTCGGCGTGTGACCTTCTTTGGCTGATCAGGTCAGGAACATATTCCAAACTACAGATACCGCGATGTACTAGCTAGACGCTGGTCTAAGGATTAGAAGGTGATGGATTCTTGCTCTGACTCAGATATACTGTTTTTTTTTTTTTTCTTCAAAATTGTCCTTAGCTTCTACGTCGAGCCAGCATTGAGTGGGTACAATGTACAGTCCTGGGAAGTAACGGCGACCGGCGTGATGCAGATCCAATCACTCAGAAAGTGCCATTTGGTCTATAAAATATACGTCTAGCCCCATATTCCCACTTCGACTGAGGATGTGAAAAAGAGTCCTTTACAGATATCAACATAAACCCACCCACAGTATTACCAGTAACTATTTCATGGTGGCACAGTACAAATGAGATATGGTTATAGGTAGGGCTGTACCGAATATTCGCTTCGTATTTGCTTCGGGGCCGAGTAGTGGATCTATTGACTATTCGGTATTCGGCAGAATAGTTGCGGTCGGGCCAAAAACGAATAGTACTTACCTAACAACCGCTCTGCATTCACGGCCTTAATGCTGACAACATGGAACGATTGGTTTTGTTGAAACCTAATGCAGCTTTCCTGCATTAACTAAACTGTCAGTGACAACTTCCTAGTTTAGTTACTTGTTATAATACTTAGGATTCTTTCATTCCTAGTCATTAGTTACCACAGACTGACTGAAGGATGCAAAAAAATAAAATGTTTTTAAAGTTTTACTATTCTGTACGAATACTAACTATATATGGAACAAATATAAACTCCGGTCACATCCAAGTCAATTATGAAAATCAAACGAACGGAAACATTTAAGTACTTGGGTGCAAACTTCAACTGCTCCAACATGCCGAGAAAAGAAATACAATCTAGAATACAATCTAGAAATAAAGTATACTATGCCCTTCAACATGTGTTAAAGTCAAAGTGCTGTCTCGCATCACCAAGATCAAAATATATAAAACGTTGAAAGGACCAGTCGTTTTATATGGCTCTGAAACTTGAAGCAGAAATAAAAGAGATGAGGCCTTATTACAGGTTTTCGAAAGCAGTCTTACGACAAATCTTTGGACCCATCAAAGATGCTAACAGCGAGGAGAGTGAGAAGCAACAACGTAACACATAATTTATTTAAATCACCACTGATCACTGGCATCATGAGAGCTAAAAGACTAAAATGGTTGGGGCATATTGAAAGAATGTCAGATGACAGAGAAGTAAAACTATACACCTGAGAGAGGAATGGGCATAGACTACGACGCAGACAAGAAAAAGAAGTTCGAGAAATAATGTCCAGCAGACCTGCAAACAACTGGTGTCACAAATTGTGAAGAGAAGACCAGCCAGAGAGATGAATGGAGACAAGTGATATCTGCAACAGTAAACCCCGAGGGCTCAGAATGCTTAAGAAGAAAATGACTATTTTGTGCTACTTTATGTGAAGTAAAGTTCAGCGTACATTTGACATTATGAAAGTGAGTGTGTTTAAAAAAAAAAAAGATGTATTTTATACACTATACACTATTCGTATCCGTATTCATATTCGGCCTAACAGTTGGTCCCCCTTTTCGTATTCGGCCGAATAGTGAAAATCACTATTCGGTACAGCCCTAGTTATAAGCACTAACAAGGAGACTGTAAATGTCACAGAGTTTGAATATTTGGATTCAATAAAAACAGCAACTGCACCTGTACACAAGAAGACGGAAAAAAAAACTTGCTTTAACAACGCAGAGGCATGAAGAACTTATGGCTCAGCACCTGTAAGATAGTTTTAAATAATCTGAGATGATGCATCTTTCCCGTGCCAACTTATTGGCTTTATATTAAAATGTGTGAGTTATGGACTCTGACTCAGTCTTTCACGAAGAAATTAAAAGCTTCTGGACTCTTTTTTTTTTTTTTTCATATAACACCGGCTGTGAATTCCAGTGGAAGGTCAGGTAATCGTCCGCTTGGACTTTTGGCTTTCACCTGGACCTGATTTTTGCGTGTACAACCGTTTTTTTTTATTTCCCTGCCTCATGGGCAGCTGTACGCCGACTTCGAAGGAAGACGTCAGGCCTATTTCTAGGGTGACTGTGGCCATTGTTTTGTGTGGGTCGAGACGTTGCCTGATTTGTGTGGTGTCCACTTCGTCTCCTTTGCCGCAGGTATTGCCCCCGGAGTACCCCTTTGGGTCGGCCCCCTGTGGAACAGTTAGCCCTCAAGGGAAGGCAGGGGCAGATCTTGGGCATTCCCCGCCATCCAAGGAGGCATCCATGTATGCAGAGCCGACACATGGCGCTCTGGTTCTGGGCTCACCCAAGGAATCGTCACGTCCTGCACAAGCCTGCTTAACCTCACAACCGTATCAGGCCTCCCGCTCGACAGGGGCTGCGCCCTCTGGGGGTCAGCGGGGGAGCAGCCCGCGGGTTTTGGACTTTTGTAACCACACAGATAGGTACATTCTTTTTTCTTCGCACGTTAGATTTCTTTGACGAGCCGTTAGCCCGACAGATTTTACATCCTGCATCAGGCATATCGTTATCAGTTTTGTCCCAACACTCGGGCGAGTGGTGTCTTTGGGTGTGGACATTCGGTCTTTTTCAGTTCAATTCAAATTTTGAGGTCAGATTTTGATCCGTATGATCTAGTTTTGTCGGAAATTTAGGCTTAGCCATCCGATCGATGGATGGTTGCTGTTGTGGTGTACCACAGCGCGGTAACGACGACACTGAGGGTTTATCAAGGACATGAATGGCCAGCCTATGGATGGTTGCTGTTGTGGTGTACCCCAGCGTGGTGACGACGACACTGAGGGTTCACCGAGGATGTACATGAATGGCCAGCCTATGGATGGTTTCTGTTGTGGTGTACCCCAGCGCGGTGACGACGACACTGAGGGTTAACAGAGGATGTGCAGTGAACAATGTTCTCTTTATTCCGCAGTCTTTTAACCAAGGGTTGTAATTTTGGCTGTACGTTTGGCAGACCTACTTATGTTCCTAATGAGTTTTGATAACAATTTTTTCACCCAAGCGTTTGGGGGCGGGCTGATGAGAGCCACAAGGACACATCACCTCTGGGGGCCGCCAAACTCCGAGATCCCCTGGCAGCTCTGTTAATGCTCATTTGAGACATTATCCGTGGCGCACGACGAGGACGTGCTGCCGGGGTCTTGCGTGAGGTTCCGTACAACCAGGATATTAAAGGACTGGCGCCCGAGTGACGTACGGAGTATCTCCTTATACACATCATGTTGGACTTAACTTCCCCTCACGCCTGTGACATAAATCACCGCGCCACGCTTCTGGACTGAAAGCAACAGAAAAACTGAAATACTGTGGACAAAGAGGATCACAGTCATCGACATCACCGAGGCCCGTCCCCCACGACGTTCTGTTGTGTCCAGAGCCAGCTCGAGGCCCTCTCAGCAACCTCGCCCAGTTGTTTAAGTGTCGGTTTGCGTTCATTACCTCGTAAGCCTAGTTTTTTTAATCACATTGTAGAGTGAAGTGGAAACGAGACCTCTTGCGCCTACTTCGACGGCGACGATTCTTACTGTGTACGCTTCGTCTCTCCTCAGACCAGCTGCTAAGTCACTGTATTTCCCGAGCTTATACATATGGCTTTCGTTCATTCGCGACTCATACGGCAACGGGCCTGAGCCCGAAGACAACTACTCACAGACATCAGAAGGAGATAGTCATCATTTTTTGGCCATGTTTTAAGATGAGGGAAAACGGAACATGTGGTTACCACTGGAAAGATATGTGAAAGGAGGGATAGAGGAAGACAACGAGAGAAGATTCTTGACAGTCTTGTTGCATGGTATGGAGGTGTGTCGCACACGAACTAATACATGCTGCAGGAGATCGCAGATTGTAAAGAGGCATAATCGCCCATGCCAGTCGGCAAAGCACCTGATGATGATGATTCACTATTCGAATTCGTATTCGGCCGAATAGTTGGTCAGCTATTCGTATTCGGCCGAATAGTGAAAATCACTATTCGGTACATCCCTAGTTAAAACTGGATGAATTTAGCAAGCAAGAATTCTAAGGTATTTATAGAGTTAACTAACTCGCTTTCTCTCAGTGACTATCACATGTTTTGGTCCATAGCCACTTATTCAATATATTCGTGGCTAACCTCTATATTTAGAGGCCTATCCACCATCCACCACCTGGTGGAAGCGCTTAGTAG